AACACTGCAATTGTACCTTTGGACAATACAAAGCAGTTTTGGGCAATGTTTGAAATGTCTACAAATGTATATTATGATCAGCCTGCTATTGTTCTAGATTCATAATGAAGAGAGACAAATCCCATTCAAGACAGCATACATGTTCCCCAGTTCAGTCTCTGCCACTGCTAGCTCCAAGGCTGTCTGATAGGAAACATGGAGAAGATGCTTTGCACTCAACTTTAGAGAGATGCCACTACTGTAGCTGGGAACCTTTACTAATTTTAGCCTGCTCTACATATCGCTGATTTTTACAAAGCACGTTTATCTCTCAGGCATTGCTGTTTAACAAAGGCAGCAAATTAAAACACACACACACCTCTCTAGGGTGCCTCATATTCACCCTTGAAAGAAATCAGATACAGTTTAACAAAATGCTCTGGACTAGCCTGCTACATTCATCTTGTACTGTAACTATTAACTGTGAGAATTAGCAAACCTTTGGGAAGAGGAGGAGATAAAGTGTCTCTTCTAACTGTCATGAACTGACTCTGTTTGAAAAGGAGCAACTGCTGCAACTCACATCTGCTGATTTCATGCTCTAATTTGGATGCTCTGACCCAGTTCACAGGCAATTCCATGTAATGCTTTTGTTATTGCAGCTCCCCTCCCTTCCCCGAGGAGAATGGACCACTAAACAAATTTCTATACCGCTGATAGCAGGAGAAGCACATCCAGCCACAAACCAATTGGGTAAACAGCCCGTCAGCAAGAATAGCAATCAAGCTGCAGTTGAGCATTCTGTAGGTTAGAGGGCAAAACCGATTCAAGGTGAACAGCTACTGTACATAGTAGCAGAAATGAATCAAAATGTTCAGGAAACAGCAGTGATGGGCTGTTTTCTGCATGTGTGCTCTGATTAATTTCCTCTGCTTGTTCTTCTGGAAACTGGAAGTCCCAGTTGCCATTGTCTTAATTGTGAAATTGCATCTGCTCTGCTTTGAGTGTGCTTACTCTCTCATTTGTGGTCATAAACTCTTGCTCTTCTTATGGTTCTCTATAGATACTGTTATAGTTAAATCCTACATTTTAGACCAGTTCATTTAGAATGCTTTTGAAAAAAAAAAAGCCTACTACCTTCAGCAGACTTATCTAGTCTCATGCTCTTCAGATATCTTGCACTACAACTCCCATTCACCTGTGCTGGTGCAGGCCAATTCTAGGCCAACACATCTGGAGTGCATTAAGATGGAGAATGCTAACCTAGAAAGAACCTTCCAAGCAGAGTTCTGATAGTGAAAAGGTTTCTGATTGTACATGCTTTTTAACTTGGTTTTCTTAAAATTTTACTTATTCCAGCAAGCAACATTCTAGGCAATCCCCATTCCTACACCCAAAGAGAATACCAATTATTTAATTACCCTCTTCACAGTCCCTGTTATATTACTTTAAAGACAAATTGGGTGCTTACCATATGCATCTGCTTCATTTGTCACCCTGTAAATACATGCTTCACTAACTTTTTTTAAACTTCAGAACATATTTTACAGGTTATGTGTTGGTATTTAAAAAAAAAAAACTTTAGAGGGGATATTCTGCATTCTGAAAGCTATTCATGACAACACAGATGAACTCATCCCGTGAACACTTTTTACATGCTATCCTAGCAAAAATGATTGTAACCAGTAGAAAATGGCTTTCATATTTTCACATGTACAAATAAAATGACAGTTCTGCAATTATATTTCATATAATACAGGATATTAGCATCCTGATGGTGGACAGAAACAGGGTATTTATGTTTTCATGCTCTTGCAGAAACAATATACTGTGAAAAAGTCTCAGGAACTCAGACAGCAGAGAGACTCAACACCTATTTATTTACAGGGTGTTCACGGTGTCTCCTTAGATATATTCCAGAAGGAAAAGATCCCACATTTAAACTCAGATAAGAGGAGTGGAGAAGAAAACCAAAAATAACAGGCTTATCTCAGCTGTTTCCAGCATGAGAAGTCAATTCCTATTCCAAATTTCAGTTCAGGCTAAAAATATAGGTTTAGCAAGCTTCTTCGTTTATATATACAAATACAATCACTACAGAGGCACTAAAGTGAAGTAGTGAAAAGTAGTGCCCATTTTTTAAAAGAGAACACAGAGACACAACACAGAGACACCATCACAACACAACTGTGAGTACTCACAACTCTGAGTACAGGAAGTGCAGATTTCCCACACTGTCTGTGTAGTTTGCAGGACTTAGCCAAGGAAGGACCAGTAACAGGAGAGCCTTCATTTTTCAAGCATGTGTTTTCAAACTGCTTCTAAGTCTCCTCTTTGCCCCTTCCTGTCTGTCTCAGTTTCTCTGTGGTAGGATACAGAACTTCACGCTTCCTTTTTTTTTTTTTTTTAATGTCAGCCAATTCTAATCCTCCCCTCCTTGTTCTGTTTCTACAAGCCTTTTCTTTTCAACACCATCGAGAGCACATTATGAATGAATGCAAATCGCTTAAATGAAGCTATGCTGGAAAAAAGCTCATTGACCTGCAAGATGATTTGATCTGATTCTCCAGTGAAGGTTATACATGAGGGTTTTAGGCAGAGCAGAGCAGAAGTAGCATGAGGCAAAACGGTGCTCAGAGCTGGAAAAAAGAAACACAGCAGAAAGCCCAAGCTGATGCACTCAGGGGTGAGACCTGCATCCTTCTGCGCCCTTCAGAATGGTTCTTCAGAAGCAGCTGACACGCTGACATCATTGGTCAGAAAGGCAGACAGGTTATGGGCTACGCTGTGTATGAGAAGAGGCGAGGAAGGCATCTGAACATAGCAGAAGAGATGCAGTTTGGGAGCAGATGATGTTATTTATATACTGCATATCATGAACAGAGACTATTTTTTCAGTCAGGGTCCCATCTGAACAGCTTCCACCAGATGGAGGGGAATGGGAAGCCATGAAATATTAGACTGAATTTTGACAAATAGCATATGCAGGTCCTTCTGTTCAGTTTTACAATATAAATATTGTAAATATTTTATATAAATATTGTAAATACTAATATTTTAAGATTGTAATCACCCATAAATGAATTTACTTAGTTTTCCCATTAAGGCAACCACTTCCAGTGGCCACGATAATGTCTTGTACCTATACCTGTAGTGAAGTGACAGGTTTTGTGAATCACTCAGATATAGGCACAAGGAAATCATATTGGAGGTCATGCATTTTCTCTCTGTATCACCTTTTCTAGAAAAGAAAAGAATGATGTGCCTTGCTCCAAAAAAGTTGAGAAGTGCAACTCCCGGTAGACTCAGCAATGCACATACATGGAACCAGGCAGGCCGTGTACAGACACATGGCTATAGAGGCTTCTCTCATTGTTTCTTAAGCTCTCCATTCTACCTGACATTACAAAAATGCTTTTTAAAATGTAATGGAAAGCAAACTAAAGCCATACCCTGAAGCGTCATATTTATATGCAAGGACATAGCTACAGTTTAAGTTTCTTTCTACTGTTCTCTTCTTTTCCTGGGCTTAAATCATGTTTTGCTAATTTCTGCATTTCTTCTCCAAGATTATCTCAGTAGTTGCCTAAAGACTGGGTAGGCTTCAAGACAAGAGCACCGTAGGAATAAAACAAAAACTATTTCAGGAGTGATTATTGCAAGCTATTTATTTTATTTATTTTGCCATGTTCCCAGTAACTTTTGGGACCACTTGGCAAAATCACTGAAGACTGATTTTCCTTCATTCTACAGCTGGATCATGTCATAGTAGAATTTGACTAATAGGAACTCTGCTTCCCACCTAGCTGAGATAAATCGAGCATCTTCATGGTATTATGAGATTGCCTTCCAATTAATCAGAACTATTTCAAAATCATCTCTGACATGCTTATGGTTATAACTTAGAATCACTTTGTTTGGAGGGTTTATGATCATCTGATCCCTCAGTAAAAGCAGTATTGGGGGAGGGGTGCCTAATGGGAAATATGTGGCTTGCTATTTTATAGGCCCTCTATAAATTAGATAGATAGATGATAGATTTGTCATCCATTAATCATATATTACATTCAGTCCCTACATGCTGAGTATCATTCTGAGATTTAAGCAAGCTGAGAAAGAATGTACGGTTTAAAAACTTATCTAGAATATATTTTCCTGTGGGTGTTTTTCACTTCGCTATAATGTCCTCTTCGCCTTCTTAGAGTCAATGAAAAGGAGTCAAATTTTGCCACCTGAACCTTTCCCTTTAAGAACAGGGAAAGAAGCAAAAATAAACCCTGATCATTCAATGTGCTGATGTTCATCTTAAGGCCCTCTAAACATCTTAGGAACTCTGTTCCTTGCTATGAAATTCCCCAATTACTTAAATCAGAAGCGGTCCCCTGGAAGATGTCTCTTCTTCCAGAAGTTCCACTATCTGGTACGCAGAAGAGATCTTTATCCTGTGAGGCCCCTACTTTCCCCGTAGTTAGAAAAATGGCAAAACCTCTTCTCCTGCATCAAGCTTTTAACTGCTAATTGAACTTAATGATATTGATTTTAATGTCAGTGTTGGCTTCATTGTATTGATTCTACTGTCACTGTTTACAACATTTCCCAACTTACATAATGATTCTATTCCAGAAAGCTTGCATAACCCAATTTCTGCATAAGTCACCTATGCACTAGCATTCCATTTCACTGTGTGCATAATACAAATGCTTATGCATCTTAGATATGCCTCATGGAAATATTTGCATGAAGCCTTATGTAACCCAGGAAGCGTCTGAACTTGGTTTTATTGTTGTAAACTGCCTCGAGTGTTTATGTAAGCTGAAAGGATACATTCAATAATAAATAAAATAAAAGATAAAGTAATTGTTACTAGAAGTCCACCTTCTATTTAATAACCAGGTTGATAGCCAGATTTATTTATATCATAAGGAAGAATGAGAATGTCTTGTTGAAAATGTTATCCAGACTGAGGCCTTTTCCTTATGCAAAATACAGACAGGCACATAAGCAAGACCAAAAGGACTCACCCATTTTGAAAATGATGTTCAAGATTACAACGTTGCAGAATTTCTGAACAGTGTTCTGTGAAAGGGCAACTGACCATCAGCTTATCCAGGAGCTTATTTACTAGGATGTTTGACTTTCTGCACATCTGTAGAGCCAGAGCCTTGCGGTCCATAGGGCAGAAGTCTTTTTCTACTAGGAAATCTGTAAGGCAAACTGTACAGAAGGTGTGTCCACAGGGTGTATCCAGAGGCTGAAGCAAAGGCTGCAAGCAAACGTGGCAGATTAGGTCGTCATCCACATCTTCTGTGTAGGTGTATATATGGTTCTCTTCTGGAAGATGCAACTGACCACAGACTAAGCACGATGGTGGAACTAAGCTTCCTTCTGTCTCTTCCAGTGGATCTTTTGGATTCATAATTGTATGTTCCTGTGTCACCAAAGAGAGGAGAGGATGCTCGATTTCTATCAGAACTTATCTCTATCCAGAATTATTTGTCAGCTGCTCCCGAGAGTCTTCAGACCTGGAGGGAAGACACACGAAGGTCAATTAATTTGTGTTGGTATTCAAATGCTATATTGTTCATTTCATGATGTAGCACCCAACAATCAACCAAACTTTATTGCACAACTTAATAAACCAAGATTAAATATATTGAAAGACTCAATTACTATATTCATTAACAGAAAAAAAAATGGATTCAATTCCTCCCCAGTGGAAACCATTTTTTTCCAATATGCTTTTAAAATCTAGTTTTTATCAGCCAAAAGATAGCATGCAGCCATTGAAACAACTGAAAAGCAAACAGCTCAAAAAGTTACATCCTTTTTAAGAGAAAATCAAGCTTGTATGAAGATGCTAGGAATTTCTCCTTCAGGGAAGTATTATAGCTAGCGTGATAGAACAAGGAAATACAGGCTCTCAAGCATTGTATAATCACCTGTGTCCCAAAGAAATAAAGAAAATTAAATAAAAATGGCTTCTACAATTATTTACTCACTTGTCACACACATACAGTACACACACAGATGTACCACCCTAGGTTGGAAATAATTCAGAGTTGGATTAAACTATAAGACACAGTGGCTCAATCCACATCTCACTAAGCCATGGTTGAACTGCAATTTGTTGAATAAACCAGAAATGGTTGGATCTGTCCAACATGCTAGCCCATAAAACTCTGGTTATAAACCAGAAAGCCAAGGTTCACACACTCTATCAAGCCAAAGCCAAACATCACATTAGTATAGTGTGATATGTGAACCTAGCCACTGAACAGTGTTTTTTGAAATCTGGTGATATATACCTCTCCATTCCTTTTCTTCTTTTAGTTCATACAGTAGTATAGGGTCTATATGCTGCAATGCATTGGTAATTATTACTACTAAATAAATTTCTAACACGGAGATTTGCAATACTGTAATATGTATTAGGGATATATCTTGAATGTCTTCCCCAAAGTTCAAACTCCCCTTCCCTGCTCATTTTATGGTCATATCATCTTCGTAATTTCCATTACTCTGAAAATAACTGATACAAAGAATAAGAATCTCAGCCTGGCTTTCTCTACTCTTAGTCTGGCCCCGGGACAGGCAATCCTTGTAGGCTTAGAGACCGCCTTTGAAATGGTGAGAGCATGTTGTTGTATTTTCACAAAACTGCTGACCAACCAGGGTACTGGGGGTGGGGAAGTATCGCTATTTACAGCTGAAACGGTTGGCAAGATCTTTCATGAGACACCAGCTAGCTAGAAGGCATTCTGAGAGTCCTTCCTTTTACCCACTCTGCCACCCCAATTAAACTTTGTCCTTTTTCTGAGCAGGTGGACCCACTGCCAAATAAAAGATAGGGCTGGTGCTACCTTCCACTTTCTCAGAAGGCTTTCAAAGGCTACAGGGGGCCAGAGTGAATTTTGAAAACACAATGTGCTAGCAGCTGGCATTTGCTTTGCAACAAGTCTGCTTTCTGTTTACTTTTATACTTATATTAAGAGAATAAGAAAAATGAGTGGGAGAAGACATTGAATCAGTGCCAAGGAAGGCGTTTGTGGGCAAGGAAGGCAATTGCCTATAAATTTCACATTCCTGCTGCAAAAACCTTACCACCACCCTCAGCACTGAACCACTGTGTCTCAAAGGTTGGTGTACCTTACAGTTTTGTAAAAATACACGTGGAAATTGTTTGAATACCCAGAACAGGCTACAGAAATGCTAGCAATTGGGAACACTGATAGTGTAATGAAGAGGGAGAACACATCTCAAGAGGTTCCTCTATGAAAGAGTTAATCAGTTCAAACTTGCCATTTGAAAAGTTGGGCCAAGACCAGGAGTCTCAACCAATAAGCAGCAGCAAGGTTCCTCCCCTCCCCCCTCACATTGCAGGTGAGCTTTGAAAGGCTATTTTGGGGCTTCATAGGAAGACCCCATTTCTCCCAGTCTGGCTTTTGCCACAAAAGAAAAGCATTCCAGCCTGGATAAGAATTGGAGAATCAGAAAGAAATAGCCAGTGAGGGATAAGTGGATCTAGATGCAAACTGGAATCTTTTAAAACAGGGTCCCTCAGCCTTGGTGACTTGAACTCCCAGAATTCCTCAGCCAGCAAAGACAGAAGGCTGTCTTTCTCCTGAGGAAAGGTGCAAAGAGGAACTTTCTCTGGAGGAGGGGAGGCAATGGCCAGATTCTTCCCAGGATTGTAGGCAGGTGCAACACAGAGATTATGAGGGAAGGGCTTAAGTTAACCTACTACATCTCTATGCATGTGCATGCCAGCATGTAGTCCATGACATATGCACCTGCCCATAAGTTCTTTCTTGCTTACCGTTAGCATTGGAATTAAAACTACCAGCTGCATTTTTCTTATCTAGTCCTGCAAACATTGCAAATAATCCAGGTGATCAAAATATACAGAGGATAGGATCCCTGATAATGCTCATTGGTCTTTGATGTGCTCTTGCATGTTCAGCTGAAATTAGCAAGTAACTATGGGTATTCACGCATGACTACAAATGCCATTTTGACTGTTTTTGACTTCCCCTGCAGGTAAAGCATGACACATCATTGTGCATCCATGCTCCAAGAGCTTAACTTGATGTTTTTCTGCTCTCCGTGCAGCTTTGAAAGCAGGGGCCCACTCCAGAAAAGCTTTGGCATTTATCAGACTGAAACCAATCCAGGTTGTAGCAGGGTCCATGTTGGGGATTGAAGAAGGGACAGATGTTCTCACCCTACAAGGATAGACCCCCATCCATGATTACCTTGGTGGAAAAAGTCTGATTTTAAAGACCATTGAAATAAGTTCTTGTCTGCTTCTTCAATGGTCGTTTCTCCTGGAATACAGCTTTAGAAGTATCATCAGACTAGCACATTAGGGAAAAGTAGTAGGTGGGGTCAGGGTAAAACCTACATCTGATTTCATTTACACTCAGAAATTAAATTCCTTTAACATGATTACTCCTGATGAATGTATTTAAAATTTTTCTTCCTGGCATAAACTTTGTAGAGGTTCTGGAAGACAGTAGCCAAAGCTTGTAGAATCCACATGCTTCTGGTGATAAGAACTAGACTTTTCTTTGCCTTTTCTCCTCTCTGACCATTTTTTTTTATGTATCCTTTTAGTTTGCACAGTTCTGCACAGAACTGCATAGCTCTGTGTGTATGATCCATCTCTCCTTGATCTGGAAACTTGATATTCATTTTCTTTCTTTTTTAGTTTTCTATAGCTCCATTTTTATTTTTCACTAACTGATGGCCTTTTAGCCATAATTTTGATTTGATCTGGAATGCTTGTTAAAAACTCTTGAAGGCAGCCCCCATCTGGCATCCTACAGAAATGTGGGGGACTTCAATTCCCATTGTGGTTCCAACATATCTGGAAAACACCACATTGGAGAACCCTGACTTATGTGTAACTGTTGACCTTGGAGTTCATTAAGGCAATCACCACAATTTCAAGAGCATTCAACCTTTTCCCCCATGCTGCAAAATCCAAAAACAAAATTTAAAATGTTCTCTTACAATTCCTAAATTCTGGAATACTCCTTTTGTTGCAAAAATAAATAAATAAATCAGTGCTTGCTGCTTCTGTATATACTAATTTGTCTTAGATGACATTGTGTTTTGAACACAGGATTATGTGTGGAAAAGCATTGCTATCCAACTCTAAAAGATTACATGACAATTAACTTCACTGGGTGGGAAAAAGGGAGCAGGGGAAGTCCTCTCTTGATATACCATTTATATATCAAGTGTAAGAGAAAGACAGAGAAGCATAAGGGTCAAAATATATTTATGTTATCCACAGCCTGTGTTTATAATACTAAGTTAATAATAAGTAACTTCTGTATGCTGTACTTCATTCTGTCACCACTGTTAAATGTAATCCTGCTGCATACATATTTAAATCTTGAGGATTCAGAAGAAGACTTCTACCAATGCTTGTTCACACTGGTTTCAAGTTATGAAGAAGGACCGTATTTATCCAGAAGTTAGTCCTAGTGGGTTTAGTGACCTTATGACCGACTAAGTGTATTTGAGAGTGCAGCCTAAAAATCTATATTGAATTCTTTCCTCTTGTACTTCCCAAGAAAATGTGGTTCCACTGAAAGCCAGGGGTAGCTGCCCAGAATTAAAGAAATAGATCTGAATTTAACATGTGAGGGCAGGGAAAGGTTAAGGAATTCAGAGAAGAAGCCTGGAGACATAGTGGAGAGGACAACATCCAGAGAGAAGATGGTACTGATGGCACTGTTAGTGATGAGGGACACACTATTTGTCAGTGTAAATACTGGATGTCTCAGCAGGTGGCAGTCCTTGCCTGATCCTACCTGGGTGTGGAAGCCAAGCAGAGTGGTCCTGATTCGTACTTGGATGGGGCACCTCCAGAGAGTACCAAAGCTGTAGACTAGACTGAGAGAGTTGGAAAAAGCATTCCAGAAGGTGGCAGTGGCAAACCATGTCCATACTGTTAAGAAAACTACATGGACATGTTTGTGAACTCAATTTAGCAAACTCAGCAAATTTTACTGCTAAGAGAGAAGGATAAGGGTCTTGATTAGAGTGCATGATGAGTCTTTGAATGCAAGTTGAACAAAATAGGCATTATTGTAATTACATCATGAGGAAGGAATTACAGACCCTCTGTTTTACTATCTGGAAGCTTGAATTTCAATCACTTCTTCCTGCTATCCTGAATCTGATGAAGAAAGAACCTGAAGGCACCTAAAGGGCCTGTGTTATTGCAGGGTTCTAATAACTTATGCTAATATACTTCCAAAATAATCTGACATCTCAGGTCTAGCCAGATATATAAGCATGTATAGCCTCCAACAGCTGAAGCTTCCAGGGAGAACATGCAGAATCAATCCACATGCTCATTCCTGAGGCTTCAAAGGATTCCAATGAGCTGTCCAAAAACTCATCAGCATTTATTACCGGCTGCTCAATGTCGATGCCATTTTGCAAAAGAGGATGCTGGACATGTGAAGCATTCATACGTATTTGGAAAGTCATCTTAATGAGTCAGTGT